CTGGCCTTGGATGGTGAAGTTGTAATTTTCTAAGTGGTTTTGTCCACTCAAAGAACTCAATTATAACTAGCAGATTTCTGGGTAAGCAAAGAATGAGAAGAAATGGAGCTGAATATTCTGAGCCTTTTATTTTAGACCATAGGTTCATATAATTGGATTATTCATGATCCTTGATTCGTGACATATTATCATCATAGTCTTAGATGCAGAGGTCCATGCATGTCCAACTTCATTCATTATTTAGTTCTTTTTTAAAGTGGAATTTTTATGTCTAATTTCTAACAACCAACTTCTCTTTCCTAATTTTTCAAATACAAAAGTTTTATTTGGAAAGTAATCCTAGGAAAGACTTAGAGAAATAAAGAAGAGAACTGATAAATGATGCATTATCAAACAAGTTACCACTCTGAGTAGATCTTAATTGTCTGGATAATTCTGGGAACCAATGTACATTACATGAATCAGAATTTTCTCTTTCTAGGGGAAAGTGTGCTGGAATATTTAAAGCTGATAACTTTAAATATTAAAGGGATATTAATTCTCTGGCATTTTCAGACCACCACATCCAATGGCAGAGGGCTCCCTGAAATCTTAGACAGTTAAAAGTTGGGCTGGCATGCATGGAATTACAGAGGGGGCACCAATTACATCTGCCACAGTTAGAAGCTAAACAGTATTATTAATGCATATGTTTCAAAGGTACTCCCAATTAAATTAGTTCCTAAATGAATTTTATGCTTTCAACATTTAGCCAACAACAAATGGTTCTTTCCTAGTTAAAATAAAGAACTTAAATGGGATTGACATTGGGATTCTTAATGCCTGACAAATTTTAAAGACCATTGCATAGTTTGATGAGTTTTGGCAAATGTATAAACTTGTGTAACCTATATCCCAATCAAGATATTGAACAGAAATTCTGCTGGTGTCTCCTTTCAGTCACTCACCATTTTCTGTAAGTAATTCTTACTCTACCTTCTATCATAGGTTGCGTGTTCTTGAATTTCATATGGAACTATCGTATAGTACATGGTCCTTTCTGTCTGGCTTCTTTTGCTCAACATAATGTTGCATGTATTATTTGTTCCATCTCTTTACTGTAGAATAATATTCCATTGTATTAGAATAATATTTTATTATATTAATTATATGAGGAAGCCCAGGGAATCTTCCTCTCAGAAATGTTTTTGAGGATTTAAGAAAGTCTTTTTAGAGACCAGGGGATTTTCCAAAGCTTTTTTATTTAGCCTTTTCATTTTTAAAAATACGTTGTCCTAGCCCTGAAAATTAACATAGCTTTATCAACACAGATGCCTGCCAAATTAGGCTGTCTCTAAAATAGCTCCAGCCATGGGCAAGGCAGAATTTTAATAAATATGGATGGTCTATTCTTAGTATTTCACCACTTCAGGTTGTGTGTTTCTCATTCTTCTGTGTAGTTCTTCAAAACCCATTTGAAATTTTTTGAAACTGATTCTGTGGCCTTGCATATATGCCTTATCCTGGTGAATATAACGTGTAGACTTGAAGGTACATTCTGCATTTGGGTCTTTTATTCTATAAATTGAGTTAGGTCAAGATAGTTGATAACATTTTCAAATCTTGTGTGTTACTAAGTTTTTTTTCCTACCTTACCTGTCAATTCAAAAGAAGGTTGTAAAAGAACAAATGATAGATGGGACAAACAGAAAAGAAATAGCGGGACAATAGACTTAAATCCAACCTTATCAGTAGATTTCAATCCAGCCAAGTCAACCGTATTTATGTTACATTAAATATAAGTGGATTAAATTCTCCCTTAACACCATCAGTTTTTGCTTCATGTATTTGGAAGCTCTGTTATTAGTTGCAAAAACATTTGCGCTTGTTGTGACTTCCTGATGAATTAACTCTTATCATTGTAAAATATCTTTCTTTCTAGTCATACTTCCTGATTTGTAGTTTTTTTACTATATCCGCTCCTGCTTTCCTATGCTTACATATGTATGTTATCTCATTTTTCATCCTTTTACTATTATATTTCTTTATATTTAAAGTCTCTATTAATAGCACATAATTAGGACTTAAAAAAAACTAATCTGATGATCTCTGGCCCTTATCAGTGTTTATTCCATTTGTACTTAATGTAATTTTTAAAATGTTATTTTAAAAAATTGTTTTATTTCGGTAACTTTAGGGGTTCAAGTGGTTTTCAGTTACGTGGATGCATTGTATAGTGGTGAAGTCTGGGATTTTAGTGCTCCTGTCACCTGAATAGTGTACATTGTACCCAATAGGTAGTTTTTCATCCTTACCTTCCTCTCACTCTTCCTGCTTCTGAGTCTCCGCTGTCCGTTTATACCACTTTGTATGCCTTTGCATACCCATGGCTTAGCTCCAACTTACACAATACTTAATCCGATTATTTATGTGCTTCAGTTTAAGTCTACCACCTTGGCTATTGATTTTTCTTCCTCTTATGTGTCCATTGTTCCTTCATTACTGCCTTTGGATTTAATAAAATTGTGACTGAGGCTGCAGGGTTGTATGAGCCCAGGAATTCAAGACCAGCCAACTGGCAACATAGTGAGACCTTGTCTCAAAAACAAACAAAAAGTAAAGTTTCTGTGAATTCATATTCTCCACAACACTGGCTATGTCAATTTTTTTTCACTAATTGGGTATAAAACATTATCACATTCCTTCAGATTCCTCATTTATTAATGATATTAAGCACCTCTTCATATTTTTATTGGTTGAAAACATTTCTGCCAAATGATTGTTCATATCCTCACACCTCTCATTTTTTCATTGATTTCTAGGAATTCTACACTTGGAATACCACTGAACTGGACCACTTATATTTGACTACTTTTAACTTATTAGTGAAATCTTTGGCCTTTGATTCTAATGCCAGTCCCTGGCTACCTGTTTAATTTGCAAAACCTTCCAAATTGGACCCCCTTATCCTACTACATTTTCCCCCTTAGCACCTACCACCTTTGCCATGTTACATACGTGTTTATTACTTGTATGTACTGTCTTTCCCTTACTAGTACATGTAGGCTGCTACGTGATATAGAGATTAAGAGGTAGCGTTTTGAACTTATCATAGCAATTTAACATTGTCATCATATTTTTATGAAATGAAGAGATTCGTCTCCGATGAATTGGAAAGTTTTGAAGAACTGGTTCTTCACTACTTTGAAAAGTGTGATCTAGGTTGTCTCATACCTTCATGTAATAGCATTTGAAAGGCTCATTGAACAGAACAGAGAAGAACTCAGTAACTACTATACCTGTCGGACTTGAAAAAGTGTTTATGCTCTACACAAAATATAGTTGCTAACAAAGACGAATCTGTTTTTCTGATTTAGTGAGAAAGTATGTTTTTCTAACATGGGCATTACTTTGTGTTATTGGTATTCCCATGTTTACAGCTGAGCCTGGTATGTGTCTCTTTGTTTTATATATACACATATATAAATGTATCTATACAAAATACTGCTTTTTAAATGAAAGAGCATGCAAGCCACTTAATTATGTAATTCAGCTTAATCCTTTATGCTCTCAGTTTTCATGTTTTGAGTTTCTCAGACAAGAGTGTGGTTATTAAATGCATGTCTTGCTTCTTTGGATGGCGCACTGGCTGAGTGTGTGAATACATTTTTTGGAATGACCTAGGTTCATAACCTAACTTGTTGATTCCTTGTTTTCTGGGTAACCGTAGACACATACCTTGAGTATTTTTATGCTGTAGTATTTCCAGATAAATGGTAGTGATATTTTTCACCTTTGGAAGTGAGTAAAGTTCTGGAAAATCCTTAAGTGAAATGACTTTAATTCAAAACAATATTTTACAACAATTATATGGCATTATGTTAGAATGAATGCATAATTGGGAACTGATCCAAGAAGCTGATACCAGAACTATAAATATATTTGTGAAAATAAAGTGGTGAGATTTGGCTGCTTGGAAACAGAGGGCAAAGGTTTCTGTGAAACAGCATATGCCTTTTATTTCCCAGGTATTTGTTCTATCACAGTATATATAACATAGTAAGAGCTTTATTTGGGTGCTTAGTCTGGTACCTGAAATGCGTTAATGAATGTTGAAAATCACGTTATCTTGACTTTTTGTGCCAATGACTAAATTTTTGGCAAGCATTATCTCAATATATTTTTTAACAGATAAACCAATGAATAGATTGTGACATAATTTCAGGATAGACTCATCTTCAGATAGGATCAGGTAAAGAGAAATTATGTATTATAGTGGAAGTCAGACAGACCTAGGTTAGAAACTGAAACTTTGCTGTATTTACTTTGCTGTGTTTCCATGCAAAAATCAAACATCTTTTATCCTCATTTATAAAATGGAGATGAATTCACACATTTTATAAGGCTGTTGTCTAAGTATTATGGATAATTTATGTAAATGTGTAGGAACCATTATAGGTACTCAGTATGTGATACCTGTGGCTCCATTACAAAAGGTTTAATACCAGTAGGAGTGTGTGTGTGTGTGTGTGTGTGTGTGTGTGTGTGTGTGTGCACATACACATAGTATATTTGTTAGTGAATCCTTTTTGTAGACAAATCTTAAGCCGTTATACAGAAAGAAAAAAAAAATTAATAGAGCAGAGATTGGGTGGGGCTGGTAAAGGGAGAAAGGCGTCTTGTCTGGCCAGTGCTTGTCATGGCCCTCAGCAAGCTTCCATGGCCATTCCTGTTGCCCTTTACAGAGGCCTAGAGTTCTAGAGAACAGCATGGAAACCATGCTAGTGGATTTTAAACACCGCAAGTGCAAGAATGGAATCTTCTTTATTAACTGATACAGGTATCACATGTGGCCTTGCGCTACAGTAGGTGAGTGGCCACAGCTTACAATTCCACTACTGAAGTTCCTCCTCCATATTTGACTACACAGTAGAGTTATCCTTTGAACCTGAATTAGCAAACCCACTAGCAAGCCTATGCCATTTAATGGATATAGTAATAACATCATTTTTTTTTTCCAGATCTAGGTTGGAATTTGCCCCTGACAAATAAGAAAATGATGAGTGATGCAAGCGATATGTTGGCTGCGGCATTGGAGCAGATGGATGGTATCATAGCAGGTGATCTGCATCCTGTGAAAGACAGAATCACAACATTTACTCTGCTCACTTCAGTTTTTCACTACAACTTTCATATTATCTTTTCACTTGATTTTCATTTTTTAGCCCTATGCCTTTTGCTTCCCTGTAATTTCGCCTTTGTTCTTCTTCTCCATTTTCTGCCAGCATTATTCTCAAACATTATTTTAAAGTATCAAAAATTCTAGTTCCATCCTAGGTTTCTAATCAAGGATTAAGAATCTGTATCTCAGGTGATTCTGGTGTAGGTGATCTGTGGACCATACTTCGAGGGACACTGCTCTACCCAGTAACCGTGAATGTTCTGACCTGTTTTCCTGAATTCAAAATTCACTTTTCACCAACGACTCCCATATGTTTTGTTTTTTGTTTTGTTTTGTTTTTTTTTTGAGAGGGAGTCTCGCTCTGTTGCCCAGGCTGGAGTGCAGTGGTGCAATCCCAGCTTACTGCAACCTCCACCTCCCGGGTTCAAGCAGTTCTCTGTCTCAGTCTCCCAACTAGCTGGGATTTAGGTGCCCACTGCCACACCTGGCTAATTTTTGTATTTTTACTACAGACAGGGTTTCACCATCTTGGCCAGGCTGGTCTTAAACTCCTGACCTTGTGATCCACCCTTCTCGGCCTCCCAAAGTACTGGGATTACAGGCGTGAGCCACCGTGCCCGGCCATATCAATTTCTTTTTTTTTTTTTTTAAGAGAGGAGGTCTTGCTCTGTTGCTCAAGCTGGAGTGCAGTGGCTATTTACAGGCATGATTACCTGTGAATAACATGCATAGTGCAGCCTTGAAATGTTAGGCTCAAGCAATCTTCCCACCTCAAGTACCTGCGATGACAGGCATGCGTCACTGCACCCAGCTTGTTCACATCTATTTACCTTCCCAATTCTTTGCTAAGCTTCCAGTCCCTGTCTCTAATTTCCAACCAGATATCTCTCCAGAAATGTCCTATAGGCATATCAATATAATCATTTAACACATTGAGCTCATTATCTTTCCTCAGAATTTACTCTGATAGTCTTTATCTGGGTTCATTTCATAACCCTTCATCCACAGTTTTTCTAAGCCAGAAATCATTTGGTCCAGTATTGGTCCGGAATGGACCAGCTCTAATATTTGTATTTTCTGATCTGCTACTTTCTTAACCATCATCTCCATGAGGCCAGCACACCTCACACCAAAGCCCACCAGGTTCTTTTTCTTTCTATACCCCAGGATTGGCCTCCTTGTTAGGAATTGGACCATGGATATGTACCATCAACTACATGGTTTTAATTTTTGCACCATGTAACTCTGACTTGGAGAGATTTATGTGATTGAATTCTCTTTTTTCTGTCTCTTTTGATTGTTCCTTACTGTGACTAGACTGGTTTACCACCTTCGGCTTTGGTATTTTTATCTAACATAAATCCCATTGCGCTCTCTGTGATTTTGTTTAACTTAGGTTCTAAGGCCCTGGAATATTCCAATGGGATTTTTGATTGCCAGTCTCCCACCTCTCCATTCATGGGAAGTTTGCGAGCTCTGCACCTTGTGGAAGACCTGCGTGGATTGTTAGAGATGATGGAAACAGATGAGAAAGAAGGTTTGAGATGCCAGATCCCAGATTCAACAGCAGAAACGCTTATTGAATGGCTTCAGAGTCAAATGGTAGGGTCTGCCTGTTATAAATTCTGTGTTATGAATCCTTTGTTGCTTATTCTAAAATTTAGAACATAGAATAGCTGATTAGAACAAGAAAAGTTTAAGGCAACAGATGTGCTCGTTTTTTTTTGAAACGGAGTTTCAAAAAACTGTCGTCCAGGCTGGAGTGCAGTGGCGCCATCTTTTCCACTGCAAGCTCCACCTCCCAGGTTCGCGCCATTCTCCTGCCTCAGCCTCCTGAGTAGCTGGAACTACAGGCGCCCGCCACCATGCCCGGCTAATTTTTTGTATTTTTAGTAGAGACAGGGTTTCACCGTGTTGATCAGGATGGTCTCGATCTCCTGACCTTGTGATCTGCCCGCCTCGGCCTCCCAAAGTGCTGGGATTACAGGCGTGAGCCACCGTGCCTGACCAAGGATAACTTTTTAAAAAGTGCTATTAGTGTACATTTTATAAATACCAACTGCGGGTGACCTGATTCTGCCCATAAAAACAGACTCCCTTTTGATTGTGCTTGAATGACCTCCTGTGGCTTAAATCAAATAGTCCTATAAGGGAAAGAATCTTGCACAGAATAGATGATTTCTCAGTCATATTGGGTTCTTCACTGTAAAGGACCCAATAGCAATTCTAAATGGAAAGCATGATGAAAGACATTCAAAAAGCCACAGGATTTACAGCAGTATTTGACCTGAAGTGCCATCTAGTGGTTTATGGCAATCATGTCAGTTCCAGTTCTCGAATTAAATTGTGGAGTTAACCCATTTATGCATAGTGTTCCATTATTGGAACGCTAAGCTTGCGGGAGTTATTTATATTCTGCTCAAAGTCCTCGCCAAGGTCTCATTTTTCAAAAAAAAAAAAAAAAATGCAACCTCTGGCATTAGTGGGTTAATGGTGTTATTCACGGAACAGTGAGGCCTCTTTCTAGGCATCTTTCTCAAAAATTGATGATGTGGCAGAGCTACCCTTTGTCTGGGCACGGTGGTAAATACCAGGGTTTTAATCTGTGACGATTACATAAAATCTAAAGAATGTCACAAAAACAGATTCAGTGGAGGACAAAGGAAAGGAGATATTTTGTGTTTAAAGGATATTCAGTTTTCAGTAAGATGCAATAATATGCTAATGAGCTAACTGTGTTGATATAAAAACTAATGAGAATTGTATGAAAGAATCCTGATCTACTTTTGGATCTGTGGTAGACATGAAAACTGCTTGCTTTGGGAACCTTAAGAGTACATCCTACAGCTACAACATTTTCATAGGATGTGACACAAATACTAGAGCTCCCAGCCAGTCCTGTGCTGAATACTCTGTGTTCCCACCTGGTTTACCTCTGAGTTTCTGAGTGCAAATAATATAATCCTTCAGCGGTGGTGCAGCTACACAAACTTGACAATTGAAGATATTTTACTTGTTAAAACACATAATGCCTTACTATTATACTTTATATTTGCTCTGCAAATTTCTCCTCCAGAGATTTAAAGGTCCAGGTTTGCTGATTTCTTTGGGGATTGCTTCATGCTCTGAAATTGGTGTTTCCTGGCATATTCCTTAGTCTATTTCAATGTCCTATCTCACCCCTTCTTTACTCCATGTTCTTCTGACCATTTAGCATGCAGTGAAAAAAGGAATTTACTATTGTTAGTAGAACCTATTTCTATCCCACACCCAAAGGCCACCAATGGCAATAGTAGCCTAAGCATACCTGTAGTTCAATTTTTGACATGTGTCTAAAACATTTCCATTAACATGTGCTTAATCTGTTCTGTGAAAGTATTTCTGGAAATGATAAAAAGTAATGATGATTACATCTGAATATAAGTTAGATCATGACACTCACGCCTTTTTTCAGAAACTGCCAATGGCATCACATCTTACTCGGAGTAAAAACCACAGTGCTTACTGTGGGCTGCAAGGCCTCGTAGGATTTGCTCCCCGTAACTTTCTGACCTCATCTCTCATCACACATCTCCTTATTCACTCCACGCCAAGCACATTGGCTATTTCACTGATTCTTTAACATGCCAGGTACACTGGCCTCTCAGCCTTTGCACTGGCTTTTCCAGGCACTGGCTTTTCCAGGCACTGGCTTTTCGCTCTGCCTGGAAAGCTCTTTCCCCAGATGTTTGTATGGCTAGCTCCCTCATATTCTTCTGGTATTTACTCAAAAGTCCTGCTCTCAGTGAGGCCGTGCGTCACCACCCTAACTAAAATTATACCCATTTATTCTTTGTCTTACATCTCCCTGCTTTATTTTGTTCTTAGCATTCACCACTTTCTTATGTGCAGTGTATTTGTGACGTTTATATGATTTATTTTCTGTCTTTTCAACTGGAATATAAGCATCATGAATCCGATTTTTGCCCTTAATTTTTAAAAAATACTGTATTCCTAGTGCTTAGAAGAATGCCTGGCTCAGTAGTTATATTTGTAATGAATGATGCTCCATGGATGATAAAGTGGAATGCACGTTCGAATGAATGGAAGTTGTTTTAAGTTTATTCCTCGGATGGGTAATGGCTTGTTGATCAATGTTTTTAGTTGCTTTCTCTCCTATTATTTGACATTTTAACCTTGAGAATCCACAAAATGACAAATATTTTAAAGAACTAATGAAGATTCAGTTTTTATTCTAAAAGTAACAATAACAAAATAAACTAGATGTAGTTCTAGAGAGATAAGGAATTTTTGTAGTTGCTAAATTTATATCCATCTAACTTATGTATATGAATTCCTCACCTTGCCCCCAACTTTCCAAATTAAGTGTGTTTTCTCGAGCACACAGAGAATGACAGGATGAAAGAAGAAAGGCAGCAAAAGGCAAAAAACAAAGCAAGAAGAGGAGAGCAGGACTGGCTGTTTGGAACCATAAAAGCATAGGAGTGAAATTGAGTTGTCACCACACACCTACCATGATAGACTTTATTTTAGAACCAAAAAGCAACTTGGGCCAGCATTGGGAATCCAACAAGTAGAAGATTATATGCTTATAATTAGTGATTGGCTGATAATATTAGATTTTTCCAATTTAATATTTCAGAAGTTAGGATATGTTTTATGATCTTAAAATGGGTATATGTATACATTTTAGCTGGGATCTATCCTCCCTTCCTCTCTCCCCTCTTTCCTTTTTATTAATAAGGTACTTAGCATAGTCAAATTTTAGAGACAGAAAGTAGAGTGGTGACTGCCAGGAGCTGAGGGGAGCAGAGAATGGGAAGATAATACTTATTGCATATAGAATTTCAGTTTTGCAAGATGAAAAGATTAATGATGGTGATGGTTGCAAAACAGTGTAAATGTGCTTAATACCACTGAACTATACACTTTAAAATGTTTAAAATGCTAAAGTTTCCATGTGTATTTTACGACAATAAAAAGTTAAAACTGATGGCATCCTAGAATTTAAGGAACACAGAATCCTAGCAAATTCCCCCTTCATATTTGAGTATGGGGAAACTGCCCAAATAAAAGAGATTGTGATGTTTAAAAAAAGGAAGCAGTTAATGATAAGGCAGGACTGCATCTAGGCAGTTTCAAATGCAGGCTGTAGTAACAGCAGACCTGAATTTTAATGTTGACCCTAACTCTTCGAAGCTTGTATGACCTTGTGAAAATGTCTGAAGTTCTGTGTCTTGGTTTTCTCATCTGTAAAATGGGGATGATGGTTACTGCCACTTAGGATTGTAAGGATCCTATGAACTAATGTATGCTGAGGGCTTATGGATACGCCTGGAAAAAGGCTAGTCAGAAAGGCAATACTGAAGAGTAGAGCGTAGAGAAGAGAATAGAGGGAAAATGTTTAACAGGAACCCTTTGCAGTGAGGGAAAGAGTTGGGTCCAGTTGCAAGGGGAGTTAGGTTACAAACCATCCATACATAGTTCCCTTCTTGCGATAAAAGAGTACAAACATTTCTCAGACTACAGAGAAGCTTCTGGAATATTTTAGAAAAACTTAAATTCAAAAATTTTTGGAAATAATTATGTATCTGTAAATAATAACAGATATATAATTATGGTTCCATTCATGTTTAATGATGGCCAACTTGACAAGCCCTGTACTTTAAGATGGGTACTAACCTTTTCATTAGTGCAACTGGGCATTTGCAGTTCCAACTATCATTTTGCCTGGGCCAGGGAGATCCCCTGGTTTCTTGTAGGATGCAGGTTATTTCTTTACTACTGATTGCTCCTGCCTGTTTGTTTCATATGATCAGACACTGAATGTGATCAAATACCAACACTAGTAACCTTTATAGTGAAGGGACATTAAATCTGTAAGAATGAATTTACAAGTGTAGCTGTAGGCTTCTAGAAATGAACAAATTTCTTTTAAAACTCAGAAGTGTGTCTCCTTGGTTAAAAAAAACTATAGACTCTGACATATTTGTTTAGTTACTAAGACTGAATTTTGTTTTGATAGTAAAATATTATAATGTGTTAACACAGATATTAATAATGGAAAATTACTTGCTTTATGAAGCTCCAGATTCAAGAAGGCAAATAGAAAAATATGTCTAATTGTTTGAGTCAAGCAAATAGTTATTTACTTTAGGTCTAACTTGATGAGTTGCCCTAGAACATTCTTATAATGTTTTTTTTTAACTGAGGATCATGACCTTGATCCATGTCAGCAGGGGATCAGGTAGTGAAATCCCAAAGATGTCTGACTATTTGGCAATTTTAATTATGAGGCCATCCCAAAGTCAGCAGAAATTACAAAAATACAATTTTCAAAAAAGTGAGTGAAATACTAATGGTGAATACTAATGGTAGTAACTCCAAAGCAGGCATCATCAGCCAGGAGATAGATAGAGTGTAAACAGGGGGAATGAGGTGTTCTGGACTGGCTTCAGACCTGTTAATCATCATAGTACACTTCTCTCTTATTTTTACATTAAAAGTTAGATAATATTAATCCCAAATGTGTATTTTTAAAAGTTGCTATAAAAATAAAAATACTCATAACTTAAAAGAGTTCAGCCACGGGACATGCTCTC